TTTTTCAAATTTCAAATAAAAATGACATAGCTAAAACTGTTTTAGCCTTCATGCTATCTTCAGCATTTGGAAACATAACAGAAATTATCAAATTACTACCAGTTTCAAATCTAACAGGTGATGAAATGACACCTTTGGTTGAACATGTGATAAATTTAGTTCAAAAATGTGGATTTGAAGTTATTTGTGTTGTTACTGATAATCACCGAATTAATAGAGCAATGTTCAGGAAATTAGCAAAGGATTCATCAGAAAATTATTCTATTCCAAATCCACATAATCCTGATAAGAACATATATTTAACTTATGATGTTGTGCATATTTTCAGGAGTATCAGAAATAATTGGATTAATTTAAAAAACCTAGACAAAACTTTTGTATATCCTAATTTTGACAATAATGATATTATTCAGTACGCTAAACTTGAAAACATTCGTGCTGTATATCAATTGGAAAAAGAAGCTGTAGTTAAGAAAGCATATAAATTAAATTATAAAACATTGCATCCAAATTCATTTGAAAGGCAAAATGTAAATTTTATAGATAATTTATTCCATCACTCAACAATAGCTGCTATGAAAGAATTAAAGTTTAATGATGCTGCACACTTTTTGGAAATAATCAGGAATTGGTGGGATATTGTCAGTAATACAAGTGTAATAAAAGGAGAATTGAAGCGAAACGAATTTTGTAAGCCTATTACCAATAAATATGATTATAGAGTACAATTTTTAAAAAAATTCCTGATATGGTTAGAAAAATGGCATAATCTAGAGAATAATAATGGACACCTGACACCAGAAACGTATACAGCTCTATATCAAAGCACGCTGACTCTACTTAATATAATTGAATATTCATTTAATCAATTTGACATTGTGTATGTAATGCCTGGAAAATTCACCACTGATAATTTAGAAAAACGATTTGGCAATTATAGACTTTTATGTGGCTGCAATTACAATGTGTCATATGATGAAATTTTAAATGCTGAAAAGAAAATACGGCTGAAGCATATTTTCAATGAAAAGAAATCGTCATTTTCTTTAGCAGAAATTAAAACAAGGTTCCAAAACTGCTTAGAAACTCAAGAAAATTTTGATTTCTTGGATACCAAACAAAATCGTGAAGTTTTGGATATATTCAATGAAGTATTTGAGACAAATTACTTAGCCAATTGTGACATAGAGGATAGTACTAAGACTTATATATCTGTATATGCTTCACACGCTATCTCTAAAAACCTAAACTGCGAGATATGCAAATCGCTAATAGTTAAAGAAAAAGGTTCATTAACAACAAATGTTTATTTTGATCATTTGCAAAGAGGAGGACTGTCAATTCCAACCAGTTATGTACCAATCATATTCTACCATATGTATGCCATTTTTGAATCTATTATTAATGTAGATAGATTGGAAATTTTCTTCTTGAAAAGCAATAATCAAAAATTTATTTTGTGTCAGTTAACCTTGCTCAGCATTCAGTCTGACTTTATATACAGTGAATTTTCTTTAACTTGCATCTGTGGCCGCAATTATGCAGATATTTTATCTAAGCTTTTGTCTATTTTTTCAAACATAATTTTGAATGATTATGTAAAATTGAAAAATAACCGTAAAACTGAAAGAAAATGTATTAAAAACAAACAGGTAACTCCACATTTCCAAGCTGGGCCTGTTGGAACACAGTGTGCTGACACCAAAAAACGTAAACTAAATACTTTTAATTAGGTTAACTGCATTAGCGACTCATACATATCACGATTATTTCGTATTTTTATTTTTTTTAGAGCTATTTCATATTCAGATGATTTGTATCGAATCGAACTGTCCTCTTTTCCAAAATTAAATTTAGTTCTTGAACGTTACACGGAGACGGAGCACACAGCCGCTGGCGGCCGACGTTCACAGGTAGCACTACCATGCCGTCCGAGCGCGGTGTTGCCTTTCTTTCATCACGGCTCGTAGTTGACGTCGGCTGTGATATCAGTGATCTACATGAGAATATTCCATAGACTATAGACATTCTTGTCTAGGGCTTTGGAATGCACCTATGGTGACCCTAGAAAGTTGTCTTTCTCTCATATTTTTGCTTTAAATCAAAATTCGATTTCTTACCTATCATATTTATTTCGATTTCTTGTTCACTAGATTGTTTTTTTATAACTCCAATTTTGCACCTACATATATCGTAGTCTTTTGCATACAATTTTTGCTTGCGGCATTACTCTCATGTATCATGATTTAATAAAATATCTTGTGATTTTCGTTTCGCTATTTTGCATTTTACATATGCTCACTTCGTTTCTCATTTATTACTCATGAAACTTTTAATATTTTGCTTACCTTTGTATTTTTTTTGAGAATTCTTTAGAGAATCATGCTCATATAGCTCTGATATTTCCTCTCACTTTATAATTTTAATACTATTAGATTTACAGTTGCACTTGTGTTGCACTTAGTTTTTTTTGGAAATTTATTTTGCTCTTTTCTATATTGTACTTCAAATTTTTTTTTTTGGTCTGGTTCTTATGTTGTCACATGACCCGAAAATTTTGATTGAACTTACTCTTGAATTTTAGTTCATTGATTGAACTTAAGCTATATTTTGACTTTGAAAATCTTACTTCAATATTTCATGAATGTCCCTTATATACTTTAATTCTCTGAAAATATTTTGAATTATTTTGTAGTCTTACAGACTGCTGGCGCCCGACAATTTTTTTGTGGAATCAGAACTGCACTTAGTTAACATCTTTTTTGATTAAAATACCTTCTTGATCAAGTTTTCATTGCTTTAGTACTTGTAAATTGTTTTGTTATATAACTTGAATTCCTAATGGAATTTGTTAATTTCTTTTGATTTTCATATTTTGAAAATAGTAAGCCACAGTTTTTTTATATTGGATATTGGTTTAAAATATCACTGTAGATGATATTCTTTTTGGGTTTGGAGTATTGCGAGATAATCTGGCAATTGTTTTGAGAAAGATTATTATTTTTTTTTAGTACCTCTTATGGTTTAGGTACTTACTTAGTTTTGAAGTTTTTAGTAGTCAGTCGTGCATTTTGGATGCCATTGTGATTCGTGCTTGGACTACTGCTGAAGCTTTTGGTTTATTATTTTTCTCGTCTTAGGTATGACGATGTTTTATGTTTTGGGTTTTTCATCATATGATGATAGTTTTTTTTTAAGTGCCACTTCACTGTACTTTTCAGCGAGTTGGTGCTATAACCATCCCTCTTGTTTGGTAGGCTTGAGGCTATCCCTTTTTCTTCCAATTCTCTTCTAACATTTTTGTTTCTACCTTACTTTTACTACTTGTTATCTGGTCGAATGGTTGTACATTTGTCCTTCCGTGATAACTTTCAATTTCCTAGTAAAAAAAAAAAATTCTTAAATGCTTCTTCGATTTTTTTTTTTTTTTTGGTTAAGTTGGGGCGAGTGTAACGGTTTCACCATCCGATCGTATTTATTAAATCACTTCTCGATTATCATTTCATTAATCCCATCTCTAGCTTTTTTGCTTGGAAAATTTTCCGCTTGGAGCGCTTGATGCGGAGTTCCTGATCTGCGATCTTCCTCGCGCTTCCTTTTCACTTGAGCCGCCGATCGAACAACGGCTAGAAATTTCTTCTCTGTAGCACAAGGTTATATAGCACCATGTGCTAGAATTTTCTAGAATGTGTGTCCGTATAGGACAAAAATGGTGAGTTTTATAATACTATACAGTTTTATTGCTGGATCTGCCTGTAGTTTATAGATAATCGATATGTAAGTGATTTATTTCTTGTACGATTTTAAAATATCCATCGAACGTCATTTTCGACTACTTCGATCATTCGCCATAACTTTAATCAAATCGAGGTGGAAATCGATCCACATCGATTTTACCTCTGTGCGCGTATATATATTCATAGTTCAGTGAAATTATAAGTACGTTGATTATGAATATTCGATGATTATGTTTTTATATCAGAAGCATGTGGAGAAATTTTTGATGACCACCATCTTGTTCTACGCTTTTTTTTTGCTATTTCATGATTTTATTTTATGAAAGGCATTTCCAATTTTCGGTTTGATTTTATCAAACTATATAATGTAATTCTAACCTAGAAAATCGTTGGTTCTCTTTTGAGGCAGACTGAGATTGGAAATGCCTTGGCCATTAGGGCACGTTGCTAATGCACACGGTTCTTTTTCAGATTGGGGCCACCCCCTTTCTCTTTCCCTTTCACTTTGCCTAGCCTTGGCCAATATTTTCACCCATGCATGTACCTTGGCAGCGCCATCGCCTTTAACTTCGCCTACAACTGGTTGTGAAGCCACTATATGGAGGTCACCCCTCATAACTGGGACCTCCCCTTCAAGCCCCTGGCCATCCTGGCTTCAGTCGAGTAAAAATGGACCAGCGAAAGATAAGTCGATAGCGTTATAGCAGCGCCAAAGATGTAAAACTTATTTTGTTATTTTTGTAAAATTGTAATGTAATGAAAATGCTTTTTTTTTATTAAATAAAATCTGTTAAATTTTTGTGTTCTGTTTGTTCTTCTATCCTCTAGCCATGCCATGGTCGACATACAGCTACACGCCTGTAGATGTTTTCATGCCACCGACTGAGCTACCGGAAGCTAATGGTAACCCCCTTTCTGTGATTGTGCAGAAAAGTTGGAATCTTCATTGCATTCCATCTTTTCTGGACTTTTTTGCGGAAAGGAAGCGTTACAAGATGCCGGTCGATATGTTGGAGAGAGTGTGCCAAAATTGGACCTTGCGCATGGGCCATCTAAAGTGGAGCCGCGGCCAACATCTACATGATATAATCTTTAAACATTAAATTATATCGACCGTTCTATCGACTCAAATAAAGATTTAATCGTTTTTCCAAATTTCTTGGGTTTTTTTGAAAATCAAACCCTATACCGCTTAAAAAATCGAATTGGACTATCTCACTTCTTCCACAAAGCAAAGATCATTTTATTATGTGATACCTAACATTATGCTGTGTTGGTGTTCCTTGAAGTACAGCAGAACCGGAACCTCTCAGTCAAACAGTACTTTATGTTGAGCCTGTTGTATCCAATTTCCGCAATCAGTTGAATCGTGGCAACTATGTATCCCAATAGAAGCGCTTTGAAAACAATTTCAAAGTGTTCTAATTCCAAAGGTTCGATCTTAGATTCTACGTCATGTTCGGTCATCTTTCGCAATCCAGTGATATCTCTCATCCATTTGACGACGAATCCCATCTCCACGATTTGTTGGCTCCAAAATTGGAGGGAGTCTTTCAGGGCTGTATAGTTTCCGATGAAGTAGGTACAGAATAGGGATACTTTTAGAGCTTCAAAAATGCCATGGTCAACCATACTGGCTTCAGTAGGCATGGCCTTCACCAACGAATGGAAGATAAGAGTGCTGTTTTGCTGTGTTCTTGCTAGCTGAAAATAAACATACCTTAAATGGCAAGACCCATCGTAGAAGATGTTTTTGAGCAGTAAGAAGCTTTAAATGAACGCGGAGGTGGTGTGGCAATTTACTTTAAGTCTGACTTGCGTGTTGAATTTTTAGACCTAGATGCGCAAGCAAGCAATTGTTTGGAAAGCCTGTGGGTAAAGATGAGCATCAATAGGCGAATAATTGTTATAGGGGTGCTGTATAGGCCGCCAGGGCAAAATATCAATGAATGTGTCAGGTTGTTGGATGCCCTTTTACCTGAGGTTTCGGGTAAGTTTGATAATGTAGTTGTAATGGGTGATCTAAATGTTGATTTTTTGGAACAAAATAACATAATCTCTCCTTGTTTCAATTCAACTGGATTTGTCCAATTGGTTACCTCCCCAACCCGTATAACGCAGCACACAGCAACATTACCTGACCCTATATTTACCACCAACCCAGATATTTTTTGTGACTGTGTTGTACTTGATGCAGGTTCGGTATCTGATCATAAACTTGTCATGTGTCAGTTTAGGTTAAATAAATTCAAGAGAAAGCAAAATATTGTAACTTTCAGGGATTTTAAATGTTTTGATGATGCAGCATTCCTTAATGATCTCGCTAATTCCTCCGTCGATGACCTGTTTTTTATCCCAAACATTGACAGTAAAGTTGACAACACAAATTTAACAAATATCCTAGTCGAATTATTCAATAAACATGCTCCACTCAGAGCTGTACGTGTTTCTAAGCCACCTGCGCCATGGCTGAATGATGAAATAAAAAAAGGTATGCAAGCTAAAGTTACTGCGTTAGCAAGATATAAGCAAGATAAGACTGCAATTAATTATGAAAACTATCGTCGCATTAGGAATAAAGTCCTTATTGATATTCGAAAGGCAAAAAAAGAATATCTGGCAGTACTTTCTGAGCAAAATGAATCGAGGAAGATTTGGTCAGGCATAAATAAACTTAGTATAAAGTCTTGTAGCAAATATACTTTGCCTGATAACATCAGTGATGTTAATCTGATAAACAGGTATTTCATGTCTGTTTATAGTGTTGATAGTGTGCCGGAAAATGTGTGCGAGTTTTATAGAAGCAATAAACTAAATCCGTCTAATTCTTTTTCTTTGAGAATGTTAAGTCCTCAAGAGATCTTTGATATAGTAAAAGGTCTAAAATCAGACGCTAAAGGCCTTGATACGCTGTCAATTACAATGATCAAAGTTAGCTTACCAATAATATTGTAACATATTGTACACATAGTTAACACTTGCATTGAAAGAGGCTTGTTTCCCAAAGCCTGGAAAAATGCATTGATCTTACCAACGCCAAAAAACAATAAACCTACTGATGTTACTCATCTAAGACCCATAAGTGTGTTACCTGTGTTGTCAAAAATACTGGAAAAAGCAGTTCAGTTACAAGTAGAGTCTTTTATTGAATATAATGGCATCATTCCTTTAAATCAATCTGGATTTAGGAAATATCACAGCACAACCTCTGCATTATTAAATCTGTGCGACAACGTTATAAGAGCTATGGACAAAAAATGGCGGTTTCGCTAGTTTCAATTGACTACTCAAAGCATTCGAAAAAATTAACCATGTGCTTTTACTTTCTAAGTTAAAGTACATTGGATTTAACAATATAGCTATCCAATTCTTCAAAAACTACCTCTCACACCGTATGCAGTGCGTTTCTGTAGGCAGCAGGCTATCAGAAGTCAGTATGATACCATCAGGAATCCCTCAGTGCTCCATACTAGGCCCTGTGTTATTTCTCATATACACTTTTGATTTGCACAAATCTGTCGCACATTCCGATTTACCAAGCTTTGCTGATGACACTCAACTCATTCATTATTTTGACCCCTCTTGTTCGCAGGATGCTGCTGCCTTATTAGAGCAGGATCTGAGCAAAGTGCAAAAATATTCAAGTGACCATAATCTAAACATTAATCCAGATAAGACTCAAATATTACTATTTTGTTCCGACGCAAGGAGAAGTGACGTGGAGAATACATTTAAAGTTAACCTTGATGGCTCGCTGCTGCAGATTGCTAATTCAGCTACAATTTTAGGTGTTGAAGTAGATACCAAATTGAGATTTAGGGAGCATGTTATGTCCTTAGCTAAAAAAACGTATGGTCGAATGAGAGCGTTATATGCCAATCGCCACCTACTGAACTTTAAACTGAGAAAAAAACTTTGTGAATCTCTTGTGTTGCCAATTCTCAGTTATTGTGATATTTTATATTACCCATTTCTTGATGAACGGATGAAAAGGAGGCTTCAAATAATTCAAAACAATTGCTTTCGCTTTATTCATAGATTGAGGAGATTTGACCATGTTAGTGACAAATACAGCCAAATGAAATGGCTAAGAATTGATAAACATGTGCGGTGCAAATACTTAGTGTTTTTGCACAAGTTGATAGCTGCATCAAGACCTGCATACCTGAGAGAAAAGATCATTTTTAATCGAGAAATTCATGACAGGATTACCAGGGACCGTATTATGGTCAGGATACCTCCACACTCTATGACACTCTTCAAGCGTTGTTTCTCGTATAATGCTGCCGTATTTTACAATGCTTTGCCCAGAAAGTACAGGGAAATATCTTTTGCTAGTTTTCGAAGGCAAATCAAGCAGTTTATGCTCACTCTTCCCTGATATTTATATAACTGATTTTCTGAGCCGTTTAGGCATACGTGTACATAGTGTATATAGTTGTACTGTACTTAGTTTAGTTGATTATTTATTTAACCTTTCTGTATTCCTTAGTGTTTCTTATATATATATATATATATGTTTTTTTTCTCTTTTTTTGGAATTGCACACAACATCGTGCTTAAAGTACAGACAAAGGTAGTTAAGTGTAAGAGTAGCTCAAGCTAAACTTCGCTATCTTTGTCCCTCACATGTACAAAATATGAATAAAGGCGTTATTATTATTATTATTATAACTTAACTTCGGCAACCATATGCCACTTTCAATGAATCATCGATCATCTATCAAGATATTACTTTTAAAGTAATCAGAGGCTTCGCCAAAGAAAAAGCTTCAAAGAAGTACAGGGTGCGGCAGAGAGGATGGACGGTTTTAAAAAAATCATAAAATAGTTAATTTTTACTCGAAAACAAATTTATTGATGGAATCAGGTCCACAAGGAAATAGCATTTGAGACAGTCAAGTGTGGAAAATCACATCAGGCATGTGGTGGCCGAAATGGTTGATGCAGTGCTGGAGGCGTTCTTGGAAGTTCGCGCAGACTCTCTCCAACATCGCTCTATTAACTTGGGCGACTTCCACGCGAATTTCGCCCTTCAAATCGTCCAGAGTTCGGGGCTTGTTCGCGTATACTCTAGCCTTGAGGTGTCCCCATAAGAAAAAATTGCGTATGGATAAATCTGGGGACCGAGGGGCCAATGAACATCGCCAAACCTGCAAATAAGGCGACCAGAGAAGAGAGGCGAATAACGTCCATGGATGCTCGGGCTGTGTGGGCGGTCGCCCCATCCTGCTGGAACCACACACGTCGGATTGGATCACGTCGCCGTCGTAATTCAGGGTGAAAGAAGTTGGTGATCATGTCGACGTAGCGCTCTGAGTTCACGGTAACATCACGACCATTACCGTCTTCGAAGAAGTAAGGGCCAATGATGCAAGTTTGCGATACAGCGCACCAACCCGCTACTTTTGGGCTGTGCAGCGGTCTTTCGTGTAACTGTTGCGGATTTTCATTAGCCCAATAACGACAATTCTGCTGGCTAACCATGCTGTTTAGGTGAAAGTGGGCTTCGTCATTCATAAACAAAATGAGGTTCTCATTTTGATCCACCGTCCAAGGCTCCATACCGACAAATGGTAAAATAATGCTATTATCTCACGAGTCAAACGGCACCCTCCCCACCTCTCTCGTAGACGGAGGCGGAGAGTACTACCCATCCCAAAAACGTCCGTCCTCTCTGCCGCACCCTATTGTTGTAACTTCCAATTGAGATGTAATTTTTGGAGCTTTCATTGTCCATAAGGTTCCTTGACTGATGTTATCTTCAATTGTCATCAGCTGAAATGGCGAAGATACTTCTTTCTTTACTACTTATACTGTTTACTGACGTGACTGGTGGTTGGTTGTGACGTGTTCCTCGTTCCGGTAGCTTGACTTGCAGTTGTTTGATCGGATTTCATACTGGTTCAATTTCAACACGGATTTCTGTAAGCATTTTCATTCATTTTTATAAAAGCCGCTTTCTTGAATTTTCTCCGATGTCAATGTGTTATATGTGTAAGATCTTAGCATGATCCCAAAGTATCCTCTGGTGCCTTGTCCATATGTTGAGAGAATAAGTGATGCAATCAAAAGAATATAAAGTCGATACCAAATCTAAACTAGATTTTCAAGGAACACCACACTTCGCAGTATCCTCACAAAGACAACGCCTATAAACATAAACCAAAACACCAGGTACCACGTGAATACAGAGAGATATACGTAGGAGAAGCAATAAGATTACTCTCAGCAAGAATATAAGAGCATAAATCCAACTCGGAAGAAGGAGAAACGAATAAATCTGCAATAGCAGATCATGCTGAAATCTTACACTAAGAAACACACTGATATCGGAGAAAATTCAAGGAAGCGGCCTTCATAATGATGAATGAAAATGATTACTGTAAGCCAAGTTTTATATTAAAGCTAGTATGGCAACCGATTGTAAGAAGCATCAAACACCTGCCGCTCTACTGACCAAAACGAAGAATATTTCAAAACCAATCACTGGCCTCGTCAGAAACAGTATAACGTTGAGCATCTGACAATACCTACTACCTGACATTTTTGCCCAATTTGAGGTATATGCACATTTCTCTTCGTCTACCTACAGCGCACATTGTGTCAGAGTCCGCTAACAGGAGAAAAATTTAGGTTTTGAATTATTCAGCCAAAACAATAACTACCACTGACAACACGTCTGTTAATGACCGGCAATTCCAGCTATCTGACAATTACGCGTGCTATTTTTCTTAACTTTGCAATGAAACACGACGTTGTGGTTTCTCAGAAATATCTCAGCAAAGGACACACCCAAATGAAATGCGTACACAGTTGCATTTAAAGAAAACTGAGGAATAGAGTTATTGAATTATCAAATGACTATGTTAAGGCGTCAAAAGAAGCTAGGACAAAACCAGAGCCATATGAGGTGATCCAATTGAGTTATGACTTCTTCAAGGACTACTCTCGAACAGAGGTGCAGCGATACTCAACAATTAGACCAGGCAGGGGCAATGTAGTCACAGACATCAAAGTACTATGTTATAATCCCGATGGAA